TTTTTTTTTTTTTTTGCTAATCGGTGGATTTCTGTATTTTGCGCTGATACCTCTTCAGCCATTTTGAGCTAATTGATTGCAGTTTACGTTGTATGGTATTCCGAAAGGAAACAAACTAGACTTTCACAAGTCGATGGGGCCTTCTGAAGCGCCACGGTTCTATCAGGGATTCATTGATGCTTTGAGAAAAGCATACAACCCTGCAAAAGTTAAGGTATAAATCAATTTTCGCTAAGTAAGAAAACTGTAGTGAAGTAAAGGAAAAATCAAAATTTATATGTATTTCGAAACGGAATAGCCAGAAATTGGTAATATTTTATGTTTCGTCCTCAACTAAGTAACAATTACTTTAACCATTAAAATGTCTGTAACTTACTTGTTTTTTGTTAACGGTGTTTCACTTAGCAAACTTTTCAGGATGGCAAATTTGGGGCTTACATGAACGTTCAGATTGAAAATGATGGTCCTGTAACAATCACACTGGATAGCGCTAACAGAAACTGAATTTTTGTGAAAGGACCTGCTTTTGCCGTTTTGGTAGTTGTGAAGGTACTTTTTTCTCCTAATGCAGAAGAATTTATTGGTAAAAGGACGATTAGTAAGGGGCGCGCATCATACTGATTGAGAGTTACAAGTTACTTTGATTTCAAAAACTTCGATTACTAGTTCGATTGTTTTTTTCGTGGTGCATGTTATTCTTTCAAAGCTAGAGTTATACAGTTTATGGAATTATGTGAAGACTGCAGAGTTTTTTGCCGGGAAAGTGGATTGCCCTTAAAAAAAGAAGCGTCTTCTAAAATTATTTTCCAAAGAATTTTTTATCTGAAGAAAAAAATATTCTTTAAGGATGTAAAAATTTATTCACGCTGAGCAAACTGAAAAGTCATCAAGTTTTTAATGGCCCCCTCTTTTTTAAGTAAAACTGAACTTTTCCCTTTGTCATGAATAATTACTAAAAGGGTAAAGCAGACATTGTGTCTCAACCAACGAAAATAGTTGGTTGGAGTTTTTTTGTCTAAAAAATGTTGATCATCCGCTCTGGATAGCTCTGTAATGCACAGAACATGAAGAGGATAAGGAATTGCAAGAAACTGGTTGAGATAGGGCAGAGTTTCCCAGGAATTAACAGTTGCGGGAAGTGGAATTTCTTGTGGCATAAAAAGTTCATATCCGTTATCAATTAGAGGATTCACATAAAAACTTCTGAAGCATAGGTTTTGCCAAGTGTTACAGAACTCTTATGATATAACCTCAGAACCTTTACCTCATTTAATAACATTAGGAAGTGCAGAAGATCTCTTTTTTTTTTTTTCCAATATATCTCCTGTTCCACCAAGGACTCCTGTTTCAGAACGAGCTTTTTTTGAAAACACCATCAAGATTACAAAAGAGGCGGAAAGCAGAATTTTTCTATGATCCTTTGAAGTACTTCAAAGCTTCGTCGACGATGTATTGTTGCAAAGTAATAACAGCTAGTATTAATTTCTTTTACATTTTATCCGTAAAACATTTGTCTGTTTTTGCTCCATATTGACTTGTTTCTTCCTCTTTTAAGGTTTTCTTTGATCAAGTTTTTTTCTACTGATGATAAGACAGAGGTAGAGGTGCCTTCACAGTGTGGTTTTTCTGGTAATCTTGGAATGTTCACGGAAGAGGTATTTAAGTTTTCCAAGTAGTGGAAACCAAACCTTAAGGCCATATGTTCCTCTCCCCTTCCCCCCCCCTTCCTTCCTCTAACGTATAGTAGAATTAATTTTTCCAACAGGCGCAGTTAGATAACACTTCATATATCTTTTTAGAACCTTCGTTTACGCTTTTTTATCGACATGACCAGAACTTAGACGGCAAGAAAGTCCAAGCCTCTTCGGGTAGTACAGTGGACGTTGCGGGACCAGACTACGTATTCCTTGGAACCAAAATACGATACTGTTATTAGAAATGACAAATAAGAGTATTGCTCCTGCAAATACTTGAGGAAATCATTTGACTACTTCGCACCACATACCATCGCATTTGTGACGAATACGACTCCACCATTGCCTTAA